GTCAAGGCTTCCTCACTGTACCCAATACGAACATCGAATAATCTAAACTGTCTCCTCCTCGGGCCAGCAGATTCGACTCCCACTTCTGAAAACTGTAGGCGTCGAAAAATTAAAAAGCCGACCGAGTTTTGATCTCGGGATTCCTCGTACCACAATCCAGCACTTAGCTTGCTGCCCCACGACAGCTCCACTACTTTTTTATTTAATTCGACCGCCTACCAAATATCGAAACAAGCCTTACTAGACTTTATACTCCTACACGTCAAAATAATTTATATATCGTAAATCATTCTTTACCCGATAGTTTACCATTAAATAGAATTTGCATTTTATGCAGAAATATGGTTCTGTCAGGACAATATTAATAAGCAAAAGTCGTCGGCGATTACGTGTAATATTTCTTAATTTTTATTTATTTCGCACTTATTACAGTATAATAAATATGTTGCGTGAGACGTTACAAGGGATTTGTATTTACAACACGTTCTTCGTTTTCAGGCCATAACTTTACGTATCTGTGATGAGTTCGTAATATCATACTCTCGTCTTCAACTTTTTTTTTCCTCTTAATATAATTTATACACATCTTTACAATCATCTTCGGTTTAAAGTTATCCATTAAAAGATCACATATGCATTCTGTCTGCATCCAGTCTTCTGAAGAAATTTTTGTCATTAAACTTTATCGTCTAATCGACATTAACACCACGGTTAACATTTTTCTCTCTTTCTCTCTCATTTCAAGATTTCAATAATAATTTTATAAGTGTATACATATATATCTGCGGAATATCTCGCAAATTGCGTAATTTCTCTCGGCAACAGACTTTAACAAATTGGTTTGGCATTTTGATCATTGCGAATCAACTGCAACGGAAGGTGTTTTTGCGATTCTAGTTGATTTGTTCTTTGAAATCTGATAATTGAGAAAATGCACATTATGCATTAAGCGAGTATCGTATATGTTGGGGAACAATAATTCAATGTCTTCTAGTAATATCACACTTGGAACGTGTGGTAATACTTTGTTAAATAAGTGTCTGAGGTTATGTCTCGTTTTATGGGGACACTTTATACAAATATTTGAAGTATGCTCAGAAAAAACGGTATTCTGTGTAAACATTATAAACATTATAAACATTATATATACACAGAGACATACGTACACTCGTTGTATAATATACACGTATAACAATCATATTTCAATATGAATATGTATTACACACAGTTCCGTGTATTCGAAATCGATTGTACGACGTCCGGTTACAATTCAGAGTAATCAACGATCATTTACATATATAGCGGGACTCGGTTTTACTAACGGACGAGTTAACGCACCTCGCGGTAAGACGCGGAAGTCCCATAGATGCGTGTGAGTTCATTCCACTTGTCTTTAGACGAGCGAAGTCTCGAGGCTGTGTATAGCGGGTAAGCATACTCCGCATACAAGGATACGAAGTATTATCCACGAGGTGGTTGCGTTTACACCGGCATTAGCTCGCGCGCGTAAATGCAGCGCGGCGTGCGTACGCACACGCACATTACGGGGTGGCGTAAATCTGGCCAGCCGACAGTGCCGATCGCCGCTGAAACGCTACCCGTTCATCAGTCGTGAAAGTGTAGCTGGAAAATGATTACCCATACGTCGCGCCAGTTGTGCTGCACACACCCGCTTTCTTCTCTCTTTTTGCCAATCCCTCACTCTTCCTGCTCGCTTTTTCGTCTCGGCCCTCTCACGAGAGAGCCTGTCCTTTGAAGTGCGCGCAGCTAAAAATTTTTACAAAATTATTTACGTCTTTTTTTTGCATATATTTCTTGCGTCTCGTAAAACTAATTGATAATTTTTTGTTATCAATCGATATCTTGATTTTCTAAGAATTTTTTAATTTTTAAAGGTTGCAAATGTAAATCGTGAAACATTTAAAGAATATCTTTTGAGATATGAAAGAGAAGGCGTTCAAAGAGAAATCGGTGGAAAATACAAATTTTTTATGTAATGGTTCGAGAACCATTAATGCTTTGTTGGACTTTTATTAGCATAATATAACTTCGTAAATCACAACTTTACAATTTCTTGATCTAAAAAAATGATATAACTTATTAGACATGAAAAGATTAAGCATGCCACTCGATGATGATTCCCGAAGTTGTGTCGGATGAGGTTTGACCGAGTTTCTCTCTAGCTTTTTTACTTCGATGTTCCGAGATATGTTTCGAATAAAGAATCGTCGTTCGTTCTCTTATTGAACCGTGGCCGACACTCGAGATCATCAGGTGCTTTGCCAGTACTGCGATCGAATCGCGTGGTGCGCGAGTCTCTCAAAAGCGACAGACTGAGCTGGGATTATTCCGCGTGACTTCCGATCGGTATATAGTTTAGCAGGCCATTCTTTTCTTCTCGAGAGACTTTCGCCGCGGTGTAGCGCGCGGCGCGAAGAACGCAGAGAGCGTCGATGTCTTCCTGACGATCGCAGCCCGAGGCGTGACGATAATAAGGTGTCAACGTTTGCGGACCTCGGCGCATATCGAGCCTCAATGTCGGACGATTTCCGGGTTATGCTCGTGCGTACCCAAAGGGCTTGCTCGTTCACTTTATAATTGCAGAATCATGCCGCGACAAGCGAGTACGGGGCAAAAGAACGATCGACGAGCTCGCTGGAATTGAAAGCCGTAACAACCGACTAAGATTATCTCGTACAATGTAAAGATTAAGAGAACATATAATATAAATAACACAGTACTTTCTTAATTAATAGATTATAGATGGAATAAAATTCAACAAACGTGACAACAAACCTTTCATTCGTTGATTTGATTCTCTTTAATATTACTGTTTTTATACTTTTTATTATATCAAGGTATGAGTGGAATTCGATTTACTATCACAAAATAACACTTTCCTCGTAACGCATCAATTTATTCCACAATTATTGGAAGTGGATAATTGTCTCTAGCCGTAATCTTGTTAAGCGAACGATAGTTTACACATAAGCGTGTTTTTCTGTTTTTCTTTTTTACTAACACTATTCTAGATGCATATTCGGAATTTCCGTGTCGTATAATTTTTTGCGCTAATAAATCGTCTATGATTTCCTGTAATCGATTTTTTTCTTCGTACGATAGTCTTCCGGGCGCGAAATGAAAAGGTTTATAAAACGGTTTATAATTATAAAAGGTTTTCGCGTTTATCGTGTTTCTTATTGCCGATAATTATTTTCGAAATTTTTATTTAGTAATTCAATAATTCTAAAAAATTATATGGCAAATAAAAATCAAAGCGTGTTGAATCTAGGAATTATAAAAAAAAAAGATTTACATACTTTTGAGGTGATATTATTTACGTATCTAAAAGATTAAAGTATATTGATTAATCTCTATTAAAAATAAAAATAATGTAAATTATTATTATAAATAAAATATATAAATATATAATATAAATATATTATATAAATATATATATATGTAATTATATACAATATATATATAGGGATGAGAGGCGAAAAGAGCCGTTGCAAGGTGTTCGTGCATAAAATCAAATTATATTATAGATATAAAATACATTCAAAATCAAACGTTTCTGCCTATGTTAGGCCTTCTTCAGTGACATTTACCATAAATTACAAAATAAATACAATGTCTTGATAGTCGG